CTTTCTAGACCGATCACAATCTATACAACATGTTGTCATAAAACGGCGACCATAAACTATGCAAAAATGGCATTTACACTGACGGCTTGAATTTGCGTGAGCAACATTTGTACAGCCGAAACGTTGAGATTTCGTGAAGAAATCTGAAAAGTGAAAAAATCAGTCAAGGTTTTTTTTAATTCTGTTATGTATTTCTCTGAGCCTTCCGTTGGTCGCGATTTATCAATCGTTCCATTTAGCCAACGTTGAGTGGTGTTTCCCTCGAGCAAGCGATCGATTGCTTGGTCGATCGGTCGATTGATCGATGTGCAAATGCATTGAAGTGATGCGTTTACAACGGCGGCAGCTGGAAACAACACATTCGATTGTTTTCGGCTGATGACTTTGTCTGTGAATGATTTCGCGGTTTCGCGTTCCACACACACACACACACTCTTTCTCTCACCATCTCATTCGCGGTTTTAAATTATGCGATTCAGTGATTCATCAAACTATTTAACCTATGCACAAACATTCTGAATACGCCTTTTGCGAGTGAGAGGATTTTTTTCTTTTTCATTTTCCCCTTCTAGCCACACCAACTTATGATGATGCTTTGACACCAATTTCTAAATAGAAAATCGAGCGAATTGTTTGTGCATTACACAAAATATTTATATTATATTTGTTTTGTTATTCTGTTAAAAATGTGTCGTCATTTCCTGGCTGCGTTAGATTCACAAACTAACGACCAATTTCCAGTCATATTGTCGAGAAAAAAACATACAAAATAATATCAACGAATATTGTACACATATATGCATATATGAAGAAATACGCAAAGCATAACCCCAGCCACCAACCATATAATTACCTGGTTTGAGCACAACAACAAAAAACGGAATTGCTCACATTGTTTTTCTAATAATTTCAAATCGACATCAGTGTGTGGTTTGTTTTTTCTCGTCCATTTCTGTGTAGTAATTGTTTCCATTAACCGTTTTGTGTGTGCTATGTGTGGTGTTTGTATGCAAATCATTGTGCGACATGAAGGAAGAGAGAGGAGAGCAAAAAAAAACACACACAACGCAAACGAATAAACTCGAGAGGGAAGAAGACGAAGAGGTCGATGTGAATGCAAACTTTAATTTCGTTAGAAGTGCATTGAACATGGTTTTCATTAGAACATTTGCATGAACATGCTGACTTGGCTTTATCACCGCCACGCCACACTAACGAACAAACACACTGCAATCTAAATCCGAACAGAAAAAAAAATGAATACACGAGCAAACAAATCAAACGCAACATGTGCCAGTGCAAATCGGTTGCATTAAATAATAAACAAAACGAGCAAACGAACGATTGAATGAGCGAAGCGAGTGGCGGAGCGAAAGATTCATACGTAGATTGAGTCTAATACAAGCTTCACAAAAGTGGCGCCCCAAAAAACGCATCTGATTTGCATTGTACATGCAAGCGGTGAGAGTTCGAACTAACAAATTACAACAACAAATACTACTGACAGGCTCAACTCTCGGATTCATAGTTTTGGCGCATATTATTCCGAGTGATTAAAATACATAAATGAACTACAATAACTGTTACACATTTGCGTTAGAGAGATTTGTGACGAAATAGAATGTGTTGAGTTGATTTGAAGCGGTTACTGCTGTCGCTTGTTGCCTAGTGACATTCCAAGTTCGGTTTTCTTGGTAAAGGAGTCGAGCCGAATCGAGTCGAGAGACGAACGCAACATGCGAAACAGTAGACGAAACATACACACATCGCCTAGCGCTTTATTTATGCTTATTTTACGATAAACGATTATTTTGTTCACACTTCTTCAGCCACTTTGAGCCGATGTGGTGAACCGTTGAAACCGAATGGTTTTTGTAGCTACATGCTAAAAACTTTGCGTTTTGCTCGATTCTTTTTTTTTCGTGTGTGGAATTTTTGCTCAGCATTTTATTTAGTCGTGGTGTTCACACAATCAATTCGAAACAGTCTGCATATATATATTCACATCGAGCTGCCACTTTTGAATAGGACACGCACACTTAGACCGATCGTCATCATCGTAGTCGACGATTTCGTTTTTTCATATCGCACATTCAGCTGAAAAAGAGTCGAAATATAGGAAAAAAAATACGAAATATTAAACATTGAGCCAAGTAACGAGAACGAACCAAAATGAAATGAGACAGAGAGCAAGCAACTGAGAGAGCGAACGAAAGAGAAAGAGAAGGAGACGAATCGTTCAAAAATGACACATAAAGCACACAGATATCGTATTGCTCCGGTGGAATATGAACAGAGAGAAAAAAAACAAGAGTATTGTAAGAATCTACGAGTGAACTGTACTGTGGCCACAGTGCACTTGATATACACGGTCGGATATAGTACACACTATACACTGAGTGAAGTGTTGAATGATAAACCGTGTGTATGCGTGTATTGGTTGCGGTGAGAACTCGGATAGAGCGAGAGAAAGAGAGAGCAAGAGAGGGAGAGAGCGAGAGAGAGTGAGGCGTGTTGCCGTTGGAGTGGTCGTTTCTTTATTAGCTCTCAACGCCGAAGCGGTGGTTTTGATGCGACAACGTTTTTCAATTTTTCTAATATCAGTTACGTGCTCGGTGTTGAACAGGATACATGTAAAAGTGACTCTCTGTAAAAACACTTTGTATATTTTTTTTTCTCATCTGGTTCTAGTACAAGGAAGAATAAAACCTGGTGAAAAGTTGTAAAACTTTATCACATTCTTAAATGTACATACGTCTTCATTTAAACATAATTTTTTGTTCGAAAATTTCTTAAAAAAGTGAATTTCCGATTAAATTTGAATATGTCAAATTATTTTTGTGCAACAAAAATCAACAACCAGTTCACCTCGGACCATTACACCATTTTTTCACCCGCTAACCGAACCACAAGAAGTTGAGAGAGAACAGAAAAAAGACATTCACGATTTGAACATTTTGTTGGAAACGTTTTTATTTTAACGTTCATTACGCGCAAATGCAGATTCTAGCAAAATTATTCTATTTGGAAAAAAATTATCACAAGTCGTAAAAATGCATTCAACTGGAAGCCCACTAAAGAAGTAAAGTGAATGTGCGATGTCGATTGGAGCGTGTGCCTTTATTTCGTTGTAGCTGTTCATATTTCCAATTCTCTCCTTCAATTCACAAATTGAAAATCATTTCGATTTATCCATTGATCAATACATTACGATGAGAACTATGACGTCGAGCTTGGCACGCACATGCTCTCTCGCACGCTATAGCAACAGTAACAACGCCAACGGCACTCACAGCAACAGGTACACAAGTCTTTTTTGTTTTTTTTTTGTTTTCTGCCTTTTTTTCAAGTTCTTGTAATCGCTCTCTATATCGAGCGTCAATATTATAGCTAGGTTTAATTCACGATTTATTTAATCTTTTTCTTCTCACTCATTATTTGATCATTTTTCATTCTGTTCGTTCAACGAATGCAACATAAAATATTATGGAAAAAAATCACCTGAAAAGTGATGACGAAAAGTGTATTGTTTGCAGTTAGCTAGGTAGTAGCGCTGGTTGTGCGCTGGTGTGTTCGCTTATTAGTCAAATTATTCGTTATTATCTAACTAGACATTCGCATTCGGATCAGAAAATCTGCATAAGAATAGCTAAAATACACACAGCGTGGCAAAATAATGCACAACAGCAGCCACAGTAGTTCAATGTAACTGGGCAACCTGATTAAATTGCATCGAATAAACAAAAACGGCGATTATTTACATCATTTACAGTAATTTTTGTTCTCCAGCCAGTAAACCTCTCCACACACACACACACACCGCGTGTCGATTCTAATTTTTTAGGTGTTTTTTTTTCCTCGCTTAATTCGCTTTATTTTAACTTTTTAATTTTTGAATACAAATCTGGCATTTTCTCATCGTTTCTTTTTCTTTAATTTTTTTGCACTTTTGCATTTATACTTGGCGCGAATACTAGTTGCGCGAATGCGTGCTAGAGACCATGAAATACATTGCAAACGAATAACGAATGCGATGGCAGAGAAACATTGAATACGCGCAACTAATAACATTAATTCGGTTTATTGTGCGATTAAAACACATTTAACCACGATATTCAAATAATGTATTTAACCATAAATGGGCAATTTTTGTTTTGAGATTGAGAAATTTCATTAAGAAAATGTGTTTTTTTCTTGCTTTCAATTTTTCGAAGATAAAATCGAAGAATGAAATATGCAATTTGATTTTATCTAATTCCAAGTATCTGAACTCTTTTTGGGATTTCTTCTGGCGCATGTGGTGTTTTTATTCCGAAGAAATTCGTAATGGGGAAAATATTTTTTGATTTCCGCTTAGGACGAAAGTGATTTACGTCATTTTTTTTCGATAAAGAAAAACCAGAATTTCTTTCGAATATCTTTACTTTAATTACTCAATCTTTATCAAAGAATCGCATGGAATCGCATTGAATGCGGGAAGTGACGCTGGAACTCCCAGCCCAAGGAAACAGTTCCACATGTTTAAAAGTTTGATAACAAAATCCATTTTTTTCTCTTTCTACATTTCAATTCAAATACATTACATTTTTTTCCCTCTTTTTACTTCGTAAATATCAAAAATGCAAATGTAACATTCATACAATAAAACAGTCGCTGTTTCGTGACATAGGCAAGTGAGCGAGCAAACACAGAAAAAAAAATGAAAACTCATTAGTCAATTTAATTTCGAAGAAGTTTTTTGTGTTTTTTATATTGTCAGCGTTTTTGTTTCGTTCTCGTTATTCCCGTCAGTGTACACCACATTCGATTTATTTCCCATTAAAATCCAACCGTTGTGTTGTTTGTATTTGTTTTAATGTCGTGCTTAGTTGGCGCTGCTGCTGCTGCTGCCGCTGCTAAGTTCACGTCGTTGTTTTTATTTTAACTCTTTTTTTCATGAATTTTTAATCGGGCTTTTGAATATGTGTGTGACCAATAAATATGCAATTTTATTTGTTTCGCATTTAATGTTCCGTTTTCGTGGTTGAGCCGTCGTTTTGTTTTCATCGGTATCCCGATTGTTGTCGTTGATGGAACAACTACTGGGTAAACCAGTCATTTATCTGAACATATGTAGTCATTTCGCCTGGAATATATGACATCAAATTCGTGAAAACCATTCGGATATTGTATATGATCCCGCCTGGCTGACTCATAGTCAAAATCGATTGGATTGCATTAATTGCAATAGCATTTTATTATGTACGCGTACGCATGCTTTGGCCTTTTAATTTGAAAATTGGCTGCATTCGATCGGCGGATTCATTAATAAATTAAGAAAATAATGTGAAATATGAGAAAAGAACTTACGATTGGGGTATAATGTCATAGGTTTGCTTCTTTCAGATCTTTTTTTTTAATGATTTTTTTGTTTCGATTTTTTCGCATTCGTTCTCTTCCAATCTCTTTTAAATCCTCCAAAAAATCGCATTCAAAATGAATGGTTTTAAATCGACAGAAGCGATATGTCAACGTTACCCCCGCCATCTACGTCACAGTTCCAGGCAAATGTGTCATTTGGATGAATGTCTTCATAATCGCAAGATAGTTAGCATAAACGTTCGTTGAACACGTATGACCTGAAATTTCTGGTCGAATGACTAAAATGACGATGTAGGCATTTGAATATTTTGACGATACAGTATCTCTCGAGCGAGCAGAGCCGAAAGAGAAGAAGAAAATACAGAAACAGTAACTAACTTACGCATTCAACGCACTCGTTGTGTAAATTAGATGAAGAATGAGTGAGAGAGAGAGAGTTGGCTGTTGTTGGCCGGTCGAAGGGACGAAAGAACGAAGAATATCTGTATTTTAAATACGCACGATTACGTATCGCTCTACTGTGTACACGGATCGTTGTTATTGTTCGCACCGTTGTGTCGTGTTCACTTCATTATTCCATTTAAATGTGTTGAAACGAAGTCAACGAAGAAAAAGGAACTGTTTCATTTTCGTATCGTTGTGTTTGCATTTCACATTTGTCACACAGTGCTCAAAGGCACTCATTCTCTCTCTCACACACACACACACACACACACACACACACACACACACACACACGGAGAAACTGAATTTTTCGAATAAAGAAGCAACGGCATAGGATCGGGCACGTTTGGAAAAAAAAATCTTCGGGTTTCGATGAGTGCTTCGTTGTTTTGTTTTATTCTCGGTGCTAAATAAACACACGGTATTTACTCATATTTATCTTGATGGCAAACAATAAAGGAATTTTTCATCCCAAAGATGTGCGCTGCACTGTCGATTGTGCGAGCTCTGCTTTCTGGAGCAGTTTCGATTCGTGCGGTGACGACATAGCACCACCGATAAGAATAATAAATACACATTTTATGGAGCACAAATGGAAACGCAGCCGTTTACGTTTGAATTAGACATGAAGTGAAATAATTTCTTTAAATTTGTAATTATGACGGTGGGCGCAGTGATCGCGCACCGTTTCTCGTATGAAGCAAACTCTTCCTTCGAAAACTTAAATACAATCGAATTCAAAGTTGAAGTTCAATATCCGTGCCGCTCGTAAATCGTACACAATTTACAATTTTAAGAGTTTTAACGGATTTCGGACGAAAAAGAAAGAATGAACGAACGAGCATTTCTAATGAATTTTAAGATATAGCAGGGAAACAAAGAGACAAGATCTAAGTGTTTACCAGATGCTTTAGATAAACATTATTCCAAGCCCATTCGTTTCCAAAAAGAATCCAAAACATAAAAAAAACAGCCTAAGAAAATAAGTAATAATCTTTGTTGTGAGCAAACAAAACGGTATCTTTTAGTTAGAAAACCGGTGCCTTTGGGACAACACACTCATATATACATGCATACGCGCACCCGGCGGATTCCGTACAAATGTGTTTTTCCAGTGAGCAAATAAAGCAGCGTCTAAAAGCATAAATAAATAATAAGAGTGGTGAACGAGAGCGGGAGGAAGAATTAAAAAAAAAAGAATTTTTTTTATGCATTTTTCGTATAGCGAATGCAGATCCAAGGCAAACCTTAGACCACGAAATCGAGCGCAAAGGGAATCAACTGAAATCCGAAACATTCGACCATGCAAACACACAACACACAGAAATTAGTTCAGCTCTAAACATTCTATTTCATATAAAATATTAATTAGCTAGCATTTCAACAGTGCCAACAACGGCGACAACAACAAAAAACGACAAGGTATATACAATGAACCGAGTTGTCGCTTAATTAAAAGCGTTTTGTATGGTTGTTTCATTTCGCCGTATTTTTTTCTTCTCTCTGCTTTCGACGCGGCTTTATAACGATTTATTTTGGGCTGTTTCTCTTTTTTCTTCTCTGTCCCTGTCGTTGTCTATCGTTTCGCTTTCGTATGTATTTTTCTTTCGATTTCTTCAGCATTTCAAAGTAAAACATACATACAACGCAACGAAATTTAAACAATAAAGATAATTATTTTTTAAAATGGTATCGTTTATTTCCGTTGGTAAATATTTGGCGCGAGATAAAAACACTTCAACATATCGTATACATTTACACCAAGCATTTACAAAGATGACAAACACAGGTAACGAAAAAGAAGGTCTTCGTTTTTGTTGAAAATGAAAGACACAAAAATGCGTTCCATTCAATAGCACACGACCCGCTTCGTTAGCATTATACGTACGACGACGACGGCGAAGGCGACAACCACGTTCACGGACCTTTGCACTTTATTTGAATAATTCTCTTTCTTTCATAAAACTATTTGTATGAACTAACTCCGATAATGTTCTGTCGAACACTCTTTGACACTCGCTCTCGCTCTCACTCTCTCTTTCTCGGCCCAAATATTTGGATTCACTAGATAATAATGAGTTTCCGCTGAATTTCGATGAGAAAATGAAAAATCTCCATTTTATACCGTATTGGTTACAAACCACCATTCACGGATTTTCAGTCAATTCAAGGAAAGATCGTTTCATTTACCCGATAATAATCGTTATTGCTTCGCCTGAGCCCTTTATCTATTTTTAATACTTTTCCAAATTCGGTTGATTCGATTAAAAAAAAAATAGGTGTTCATGACGAAAATCCATTTGTAATTTCCAAATATGAATATTCAATTGAAATTGGAAGCAGAAAAACAATTTAGAAAATTGAAAATGAACGAAAAATGCAAAGAAAAACGATTCCATTAAAAATGATTAGCGCTCAACTTTGATTCATTTAAATATTCGGTGTATTTGTGTGTGGTTCAAATTAAAAATATGGAAATACACAAAAAGTCTCCCCCGAGTTGGAAAAATCCCACTTCATAAATCAGATACGCTGATAACACAATTTCAAACCGTTGCTGTTGAATGAAATTGTTTTTTTTTTTCTGAATGAGTAGCTATGTGTTCAGTTCATAAGGTCTTGTTGTAAGCGCACAAAACGAAACAAGAAAATACTACAAAAAACACATCATTCATGCATCACTTGCTTTTCATTGTTTGCGTTTTTGAAGCGCGGCCCCAGAGTTATGAGCATGAAAATTGATGTGATGATTTTTTTTTGCCGGAAACGGTCAATTTCGAATCATTCATTAGAGAGAGCGAAAAATGACAAATCAAATCAGGCTTCGATTCGTGCCATAATAATAACAGCAAACAATAACATTCCAGTCGGAATTTCTTGTTTGAAACGAAAAAAAAAGATTTACACGTGAACAAAAATTCGTGCTCTACATTGATAGTATCAGCAGGAGTTTTCGATTCGAGCTACTTTGCGATGCATAGAAGAAAAAAAACGAGCGGACGATTGGATTGCATGATGCAATGCAAAGAGTTTAATTGCTGTTGACATATTCCATAACAGACGAGAGCAAAGTAAAAAAAAAAGATCGAGCCATGTAATCAAAATACGATCGCTTTGACTGGAGCACTGTGTCACTGAATAATTTAAATGCCATCCACGATCGGAACAAAATATGTTGATGGCGCGCGCAATGTCTATTACACTTAAAAAAAATACAATGAATAAAAGAAAATACAGCGCACGAAATCGACACACACTGAAATTGGGATTTCACCGAATATTGAAATGCAACTCGGGTACGGCTGATTTCTTTCTCTCGTACTGTTCATTGAGTTGCCCTGTAGCGGCTGCTTTTCGGCGAAGCAAACAAAGGTCTATTTGCGATCATATGAGTTTGATGGCGACAATAAAGACAACGGAATGGAAGAGCATCTCTGAGAAAAGCGGTTCACTTCATATCAATGATATTCATCACATTTGAATTTAACTCCATCGAATTAATGATTAATGCAATCGAGCAAATAGATCAAGCCAGCAAACAAACAAATGAATGAACAAGCGCGAGAGCAATCCCAATCTTGCGCTTCGGTCGCATTCATTTGAATTCGTACACAGGTCATTTGCATCATTTATTTTATTTATATGCACATACAGACAGAGAGATTTTACTAATTTTTCCACATGCAAAACATTGATTCGCCATGGTGACGATGGAATAATGCATTGCAGCGCAAAGAGAGTCGAAAACGATGTATTTATCGGTATGTTGTTAAAGTACACATACCATCACACAGCATAAATCTCTTTCATTTCAGCAACTGAGTGTGTGTTATCCAATTGTGTCGTGCATTTTCGATTAGTGTGTTTTATTTACATGTTCACGTCCATTGGTCGTGCAACGAGCAACACGCCAACCAATAACAATAATCGTAATTATGTAGACCAACATATCAAAATAGCCATGAGAGCGAGAGATGCAAATAATTAACAGAACCAAAAATCAAATGGTACGATGCTAGTTTCTCTTTTTTAGTATTATTATTTTTCTACTTGAGGTGCACGCGTGTGCCCATCCACGCACACGACATTTTAATTAACACCATTTGGAAAATGCACCGCGACGACAACCACCCGAATACCGCAATATATATATGCGCGAGTAGCGAGGCGCTACAAATGAAATGCAACAGCATAAAATTCCAAACGATATTTAATCAATGCAAACGAATGACGATCACAACGTCGAATATTCCATCTTGATTTATTTCTGTTGATTTATCCATTTGTTCGCTGTTCGCCGTTCAATGGCAAGAAATCAATCCTTTTCTGTAACAACATCTTTGAGATGTAGATTTGCTTTCGCTTCGGCGTTTTTTTTTTGTTCTTTCTTTTTCCATTCTGTTGCATCGAAGCTCGGCTGTACTTTGACATTTATCTCTATCGCAGGAAAATGGTGTTTGAGTCTCTTCCAAAAGGTTACCTTTCACAATGTGGCAAAGAAAAACCACATCATCCATTCCATTCTGGTTGACGTAAAGTAATTTTTCCACAGCTATTTATGTTAGCATTAACTATTAAAATGCATCCTAACACTGCATCGCCGCCGAGTAAGCATTATAATTTGATTTGATGAAATGGTTGCCGTGTTTCAATAGCCATTTGAATTTCTACGTCCTCCCGGTGTGCCAGCGTACCGAGATATGATGCATGGAATTTGATTTGATGGTGGAATCATGACAAATAAATTGTTGGGAAAAAATGATGATGATTTTTTATTAGGTGGAACGCTTTTGCGTTTTTTGTTGTTGCGGAAACTAGGCGCATTCACTGTGTGTGTGCGCGCTTTTTTTCTCGACTATTTTATTGCATTGTAATAGAGTGAAAATTCAAGTTGGCAGAATGACTGTCAGTTTGAAATGGTTGGTGTCTAGCTAGCTGAAAATAAACTGATCTTGGCTATGAGCATCAATTGAATTGCACATGCAATTTTTCACATGAAGGATAAATTGAGCTCTCTCTTTTTTCTTTCCACCGCTAACACAACTGCCTATTCGATCGAAAGAGGAAGAGAGAAACAACTACGGCAAAAAAAAATTAAATCGAATTGAAATAACGGTTATTATTATCATAAACAAGCAAACCGCACGAACCCATCTAATTCGATTCATGTACACGTACCATATTTCAAAATGATTTGCAAGCATTTTCTAAATGCGCTATCTATTTCATTCGGTCGTTCGCATATTTTTGCACCTGTTAGATTCAACTGGATAGAGAAGAAAAAACTAATAGTATGAGAGAATAGCGAAATTACGCACGAAATTGCACAATAATTGTCGTTGTTGTCGTCGTCGTCAAACACACACACACACACACAGTGAACGATCGACCAGAGACGTTAAATGCAAATAAACCCAAAAGGAGTGGATTGACGCACTCTTTTGCTCTCTCGAGCTCACTGCCATCTCAGCAGCAACAGCAACAACAACAAAAATTAATATTGCCGACAGATGACACAGATACATTCGTACGCATTGTCAACGATAGGCCGAATAACAAAAGAAACGTAACAGCAGCTACAACCAGCCGATGAATAAAAATGATCATAAAATAATTTCCATTTTATGTACATTACATGCGATTTCAATTGTTGTACACTAACTTTGATGTGTTTCTTTGTTTTTTTTTTCCTCTAAATAATTCGGTCGTTTCGCTGATTATTTTATTCCACGTTTTTTTTCTCTTCTTTCGTTTCAATCTGTTTTTTTTATTCGTTTCCACTATCTATGCACAAACACACATTTTCAACCGTTATTAATATTCATAATTGTATTTGTGTCGTCGTCGCATTTTGAAACATATTTCACTTTTCAAATTATGCGATGATGTGGTCACATGAAATGTCATGCTTATTTCATGTGTTTTTTTTTTGTGTGTGATTCGATGTGCATTGTTTTTGTTTCACATTTGATTCTTTCTCTCTCTCTCTCTCTCTCTCTCGTTTGCGGCCGTTTCGAAACCAACAAAAAAAGAACACTCAAATCGGAAAGTTTGCACAAGTGCACTGTGCTCGGAGCACATACAAAGAACATAACTGAATGCAATTTTCGAAAACATTCATCCGGTGCGGATATTCGGAGACATCTTCAAAGACTTTTTTTTTGCACGGCTAAGTGCACACAATTGACCCACATTCACACAAACACACTGAACTGAAATTAATAATTGGAATTAATTCTATTATTATTGTAATAAAAAAATATTTTACTGAAAATGGCCTTCAGATTGAGCTTATTTTTGATAAAGAAGGGGAATTGAAAATGAAAATTCATTCGTCGTTGCATTGTCATCGTTCCATTGTTAAATGCAATTTTTCCTAATTTTTTTATCTTTTTTTTTCCTTTAGAAGCATGGAAATACGCAGCAATCTAGTCTTGAAGATAGTTGGTTTTGGGAGTCAGAGAAGGCCGTTTCATCGGATTCATCCAAAGAAAATGATGGCACCGGAGTCGCTGCTGGAGCCGTGAAGAAATCGCCGGCTACCGATGACAAAGGAGCTCGAATTGTGGACAGTTTGCGTCGCTCATTGGATGAAAAAGACGGTGAGATTCAGCGATTGCTCGAAGAGAATTTGTCGTTGAATGAGAAAATCAAGCATTTGCACCGTGAGTCAATCGAGCAAGACAAGCGTCTTGATGAATTGGATCAACAGCATACGGAAGCGTTGCAAAATTTAGTGCTCATTAAAAATGGGCTGCAACAGGATGTGGCAACGCTAAAAGCTGAATTGGAAGTGGTTCGAAAGCAAAAAGTGGAAACCGATGAGAAACTCCAGAGTTTGACCAAAGAACACAATGAATTAGTTGTAGAAACCAGTCAGCAGCAGGAATCATTGCAAAGGCTCGATGAATTGGAGGCAAAACTGGGAGAAAGTCTTGGGTCGAATGAACGTCTCCGAGGTGAAGTTGATGAGTTACAAGCTCAACTGAGCGCCAAAACGGCGGAAATGGCCGAATCGCGTGAAGAAAAGGACAGCGTCCACAGTCGTGAGGGTAGTGATAAATTCGAGTTAATCGATTTGGAAAAGGAGAAAATGACCAGCTCCATGGAAATACATCGTTTGCAAACCGAATTGGATGAAATAAATGCGCGTCTTTCGATTTTAAACGATCTCAAAGATCAATATGATTCAAATGTTGCGAAATTGGGCTCGGTCGTTTCGGAGAAGAATAGCTTAGAAGAGCAGGTAAATCGATTGAAAGTGGAAAATGAGAGTCTGTTGAATGAGGTACGAGTGGCACGCAAAGCCGTCGACAAATTAGAGGTATTACAAAAAACACTTGATGAAATAAATATGGATAAGGAACAAAATGAATTGGCTTTTGTCACTCTACAGGAAGATGATTTAGTGTTGCAGAAAGAATTCGATCAGTTGCGCGCGGACAAAGAGCATTTGGAGGAAACGCGATCGACTCAAGACGAACAAATCACCGGCCTCGAAGCGAAATGTGCCGAACTGGAGACGAAGCTGCAACAATTGAATGTCGATTACAAGAAATTGCAAACGGATCATGTGCAGTGTGAGGAACGAATCACCGAACTGCAATCGATGCATGACGCATTGAAATCGCAAGCGGTCGACTTGGAATCGAGCCTCGTCGAAGAGAATATGATAACACAGAAGCAGGTCATCGATTTGCAATCGGCTTTGAATAGCATAAATGCAAGCGAATCGGACACAATAATATCGTTTGAAGAGCTCAAAGCGATCATTTCGAAAACACTGAGCTATGAACCATCGATCGCAAACAATTCATTGAAATTGTATTTGGATGCATTCCTAAAGTCGGTGAAGGATACGTACCAGCATTTATCGGATATTGAAGCGAATCGCAACAATTTGATGAAGCAATTCGAATCGGTGTCGACGGACAAAGCCACGCTGCAGCACGAATACAAAACGCTCAAAGCGGATTTGCATCATTACGAAAAGGAAGTGGCCGAACTGATGAAGAACAATGGCATCCTCTTGAATCAGCTTGAATGTGTTAAGGCTGGCAAATTAGAGACCATTTTAGAACACAACGAAGACAGTATTTTGCGATTGGAAACGCAACTCGAGGACACCAGCAAATTGAATCAGAGTTTACAAGATGAATTCGAAAATCTCACGCACAAGTTGGACGAAAGTGAGGAGGAAAAGTGTGAGCTTAGCGAAACGATTCAACAATTGCAACGGCAATTGGATCAAATGCGCACCGATGACTCGAAGCTTGAGATGCAGCAATGCTTTGAGGAGAAATTCAAAGCGCAAGCCGATAGAATTGTCGAGTTAACAAAGGAGGTGGATGCGTTGAAGGTGGACCGAGAGGAAAAGCAAAAGCTGGCAGCTGAAATTGGAGAATTGCAACGATGCAAGCAGCAGGATGCAGAGGAATTGGAGCGACTGAGAAGAGATTTCGACGATTTGGAAGAGGATTACAAGTTGGCTGAAACATGCGCCGAATCGGAAAAGACGAAACTTGAAGCGCAAATTGATGAGTTGAATCAAAACATTGATGAGTTAGAAAAACGCCTTCAAGTTCAAACTGCCAGTATCGAAGAGAAATCAACGGCTTCTCAATTGACCGATGAGCTGCAACAAAAAATCGAATTGCTCACGAGAGAAAGGCAAGAACTGGTGAATGCCATACAAACGAAACACAACGAAAATGTTCAATATCATGCAAAAATCCAAGAGCTCAATCAAATGCTAATGACACTTCAGCAAACGATTGCCACGCAAAGTCAGCAATTGGCCAGCGGTTGTGCGACTTGTGCACAGTTAACGGAAAAAGTGACGGCGTCACATAACGAAATCGCCACGTTAACCGATCAAGTTACATTCCTGAAAGAAAAGTCAGACATTCTCACACAGAATCTACTCGTCGAACAAACGAATCAGAAAATTTTGCAACAGGAAAAAATCCAGTTGAATGAGGAAAAACAAATGTTGAACAAGGACCTCAATCGATTGCGTGAGCATTTGATCGAAATGGAGAATGCACACACCGCCGAAATGATTGAATTGCAAAATTTGTTGGAACTCACTCGGCAAGAGGTGGCCAACATGCAGAATGAGGCAAGGAAATCAAATACGGCTTACACGTCAGCCAGGTACTATTTCTTTTCTATTTGATTCGTTTCGTGAAGCTGCTCTTATTTTCATTTAAAAATTGATGAAAACTGAAATTTAACAACTCTTCAAACTTTGCTTAGCATTCGAGCCAATCAACATACTGAAACGATTCAAGCACAATACGAAGTGTTGAAACAACAGAAAGATGAACTCTCCGCTCGGCTCAGCGAAGCAGAAGATAGAGAATCCAGAAATATTGCTGCGTTAACCAATTTGCAATGCGTTTTAGAGCAATTCCAGAAAGGTACGTTCAAATATTTTCAATTCATTCAATTTCAAATAAGTTTTTGGGAAAATACTTCAAAATAATCAAATGCAAAAGTTTAAAGTTAAAAAAAAATCATTTGAAAAAACTAAATTATTTCCATTAAAAAACGCAATTCCAGACAAAGAAAGAGACGTGGAGGCCATGACAAATCGAATCCGCAATGAATTGAACGAAGAAGTAGCCAAGCGTCAAACACTACTCAATGAAATCCAATCGCTGAAAGTACAATTGGAGGAGTCAAAAGCGGGTCTCTTGGCAGCCGCCCGCATTTCAGATCAATTAGAAATTGCTCAAGTGACCAATGCGACCATCAAAGAAGAGTGTAAGTATGCGATATGTGTTGCAATTTTATTCAATTTTGTTTGAAATCATGTTATACTTATTTTATTTTGCATTACGTGAGTTTTTGACTAAAACAAGTATGGTTTTATGACCATTGTGCACACCGTTTTTATAATTCGGATTAAAAAGCAACAAAAAAAATCAAACCAAAATTTCGAAACATCAAAATTTAAAGACCAAAAAAAAAAAATAACATCCATTTCGAAAAGTCAATATCAATTGGTAATTCTGGGCTGTATCAAAGAGAGTTCCGGAATTCCAACTGATATACGCTTTTTAAATGATTCGGCACACACACACACACACACATACACGCATTACAATCCGATTCGAACAAAAATAAACGCACACAGTCGTTATTTCGGTTATCATTATATATATCTTTGGATATTATTCATTCATTTATTTGTATTTTATTTTTGGAAATTATTGTGTACGGTTTTGTCTTGTTGTCGTTGGCTCATTGAATTTGCTTGCTTGCATTTGTGATTGTTTTTTTTTATTCGTAATTTTTTTTTGTTTCGCTGAGAAGAAGAGTCGAAAAGAATTGAAGCGCGCTGTATTTTGCTGTTGATGCATTTTTTTGCGTTGTTTTTGTATTCGTCCCCTCTCCCGTCTGCCTCTTACGTAATGTGAGAACCGTATATTGTGCATTCTATGGAGAAATCTCAAATTGTAATTGTGGGCAATTGTCATAATTAAACGGACCCACGTTGCAGATTGGGGTTACTCGATAGCTTGTGATTGTGTCGTCAAAGCGTATTATTTATAGTTTTTTCTTCATACATTTATTTACATATTGTTTTGCCCGCTCTTTTGGGCCGTTTCGTATTTATATTTATTTATATATTTTGCATGATTATTTTCATTTTTTTTTTGAATTTTTTTTTTGTATGATATTTTTTCATTGTTATTGTTGTTGAGGGGAGGCGTTGCCATTGAATAAAACACATGGTTTGTTTCGAAATCCAAACACCAAATTCTATTTGAAATGAAGTCTATTTCCATATTATTGACTCATTTTTGAGTGGACAAAAATATGCTTGTCATATTCCATGGTGCGATATGTACATTTTTGGAGCCAATGTATTGGTCAGAATCCTATCCTGGTGTAAATACCGTAGAACCTGTGTTTTATTTCTTTGCTCGCTTCAACCCCAACCATTTATTTCGTTTTATTTTTATTTTTTTGATCGCAAGACCCGTTGTCGATTGTGATTTGAGTATTACTTCAGGTACTGGTGAATGATTTACAATGCCAGTGCTTGTGTCATGCTCGTCTCAAAATCGATAGAATGCTGCATGCTGAAGAAAAACATATCCCATTATCAACCTTTTGCTTCAAGTTTTTGCTTGAGGAGTTTTTGCTCCGAATTTCTTATGTTTTACCAACCAATTGTTTTCGTTGAATTAATGGCATGAAACATCGTCGTGTGGTATGTATGATACACTGAGACAACCGGATTCATCGCTTCGATTATAATATTTTCGATAATTTATATACGTGTCATGTATTTCAATACATATTTCAACATAATCTATGTTCAATTAATATCAAATCTGTGAATTTTAATGAAATTGTGTGCTTTTGTTCTGCTTTCATTTCGTTTCTAGTACGGAAAACTCAAGACAAATTGCATACGGCCGAAGCAAAACTGCAAGAGACCGAATCCAATCAGGCCGATCGAGTCGATAAGAGTTTGTTGAAGAATCTGCTTATTGGTTACATCATGGCGCCAAACAACGATAAGCAGCAAATTTTAAAGCTTATTTCATCTGTGCTCGACTTCAATCAACAAGAATCAGACAAAGTTGGATTGAATCGATCGAATCAAGGGTGGCTCACATCCATTTTGCATGGATCAACATCACCGAATAACAATCAAGCAGGTAAGTTAATATGGACTGAGGATGGAAATTTTGAAACAGTTTACAAATTGAAAACGTCGTTTAATGCTTTCTGAAAATTTCCTTTCATTGAACCGTGGACAATACTAATTTATGTTTACGTTCATCCAACAGGTGGCAGTTATAGTAAAGACAGTTTGGCCGAGGCATTTGTTAAATTCCTGGAGAATGAATCGCGACCGCGAACAGATGATAATGCTCCATCTTTGCTCAGCATGAATACACCGCCAAAGAATCCAGCTGGCGGCGACGAACCAGTTCGAAAAACATCGGCCGTTCAACCGATTTTACTACCCGATGCAATGCTTCAAACATTCACCACACCCCGTAATTCCAGCTCCATTCTTAAAGACATCCTCAACGATTCTTGATACGATCTTTTTTAAACGTCGTGCAATCCTACTTTCCTTTAAATAGTAATAACATATATTATGAAAAAGAAAAAAAAAATACGATGAAAATATTTTTTCCCCTAACAACATTTTTAATTTATATTTTTTAACCGATTTCCTTCCATATACACGTGTTTCTTTTGTATAAAAACCAACTATATTGATCAAATTTTGTGAAAAAATTAAACTAACTCATAATTCCACCAATAAATGCATGTACGATTTCGATCAATTCCTTGAAAATAAGAAGAAAAGATTTTTGCTATTTTTTTTATGATTCTTTGGATTGGATTAAGAATGATTTTCATTTGGAGAATTCTACCTGAAGGGAAATGAATATTTTGTGAGTATTATTTAAAAACAACAGACAATGGGTTACATATTATTGAAATGCATTTGATTTAAAATTCGAAATTAAAATGCTTTTTAAGTGATGCGAAAAGTTGTAAGTTCCTTAAAAAATTAAACGCCATAAACGCCAACTGCTGCTCGAATGCGCATCGCAGCCGCTGCATAATCGTGAGTAATCAATTTCGGTGCGACGTACCCTCCATGACCCGGTTGATACTTTAAAAATAAGCCAACTCCACTCAATGGAACAAGTTCCGATGGTTCAACAAGCTGTTGATGACAATTCAAAACAAGAAATTAGTCGAACACTTCAAACCAAGAACAATCCTCTATGATAAGGAACATCCTAGAGAGTGCTCTCACGTAATGATTATATATCACCGACAATCGAAATCATACTAATGTCTCTTCCTTATTGATTTCAGTACAAGAAATCTCATTAGATAGTATAGAGAGTTCAATAATTTACTTACATTAGAATCCAAGAACGGAACGGTCGTTTGTGCCATGTCGCGAACCCAGCCCGTTGGTGCAAATCGAACTGAATTGCCGTCATCCGTGCCCATTGCTCTGGTTTGTGTCTGTGATTTGGTTGGAACGTCGGTGTGTTCCACTGAAATTACAGTTCGTTGGACGTTTGAGTTCATTTTCCATTCGCTTGCCGTCGACAAGTCCAATTTCCCAGTTGCCTCGTCGTAGTAAGTGAACCGTGCCTCAAGATGAACACTGCCCGAATGAATGCGAAATCTCACCCCGGTGACCAATTGATCTCGTGCAGCCAGAATTGTGTCCAAATTCAATGTCCGATTGTCGTATGTCATTGTGAAATAATCGGAATGATCGTGAACACCTGGATCGTTAACCGTGAAATTGTAATTTGATACCACTTCAAATATGTGATCTAGTTCATTTTGTGCCAATAATGTTCGCTCGATGGCTGTCAAATGGATGATGCCGTTCTTTTTTACAATGCGAATGCCGCTTATTACTCTGAAAATTAAACGAAAACATTTGGATGAAGAAAAGTAAAGGCAAGCAGAAAGGATTGAAATAGAAGGACAAATACTTGTTGTCTGTTATGTTCGACGTAACTTCTCGTAAACTGAAATAACGATCTGATCTTGGGCCAGGAGCATCGCAATAGCAGAAACAGTATCGACATGTGAACAACCATGACATGAATGGCTTGGCTTCGTAATAGTCGCATGATAATTTTTCTGGTCCCAATATCTTGCCCGATGCCAATTTTACAAAATCTATACGACGATTCAGCTCTGAATCATCTTCCTGCAAGTTGGAATTGAGTGGATTCGAATTCAATTATGATATTTGTCGCAAATATACTTGGCAAAAGCAACCAGAGCAAAAAAATCACTCACATTCGGACAGAGTGAAAATGACGGTCCAAAATAGTCACAGTCTCTGATCGTTCCCAGGCATCGTGTTTTATTGTGATCTAAATAATTTGCAGCGCACATCGTTCCCTCTTTGCATCCATAACTCTTGGTCGTTTTAAAGTCGGTGCAGTACGGAGCGCACGATCCATCCGGGTTCAAGTTGACCTGGTTGTCGACATATCCCTGAATAAAATTCGTCAACTGTGTGTAGGAATCGTTTGAGCTGAAATTATCACAAGACCAAACAACGCGACTCAAATTCCACATCAAATTTTCGCTCTGTTGCGTGAACGCTGCATATTGATAGTTGAAACCGACACGCTGATCGCGTGCGATTTTGTGAAATTGCAAGAAATCCTATAAATAGAAGGATGAAAACGAAAATACGATGAACGCATTTTGTGAGTCATTTCGAGCGTAAGAATTCAATTGGAAAGATGTATAGAGAGTCAAACCTTTGACGCTCTGGTTAGATAAGATAGTTGTAACATGACGTAAGCCTTCAACTGGCCGACAATAGTATTGATGAAGTATTTTTCGGTGAGTTTGTAAACAGCGATTTGTGTTCGGTCGGTGTCAGTGCATGATTCGGATTTCTGTACAAACGAAATAAAGCCAAAATCAATTCAAACGATATTTTGGTTGAGCTGATATGTGATAAGAACACTGCTTTTTTTTTGCTGTGACAATGTCAAAAAATTACGCCCAAACTTTACACATTATCAATCCTATCAACAGTTGCTTGGTGTGGTCGCCTTACATTTTTGAGAAAACCGAAATAGACCGCTGTATTGGTTGAATTCCACAATGTACCCAAGGAAGTTTGTAATGTTGGTATCGCATCATCTGTTAGCACTTCCAACATGTTGGAAGCATTGAATGCCGACCAGTTGGCGAATTTCGACCAATATTCGGCAACGTGAGCATTAGACAGAATCACACTACTAATCACAGGCACATGGTATGGATTTATGACAAATGCATCGACAAGTGCGCTTTTCTTTGTCGAATTGGTCGCAGTTTCATTAATCGTTGGATAGAAACTATCGGTGCTCGCGTGCACTTTATTGATTGTATCAATAAATAGATTGTGATCACGGTAGATTTGCTCCAATGTGGTGTTTTTGAATTGTCGCGTCCACAAATTCTCCTCGTACTGTGTATAATTCCATCGAATTCGACCAATCACCGAAATTGGATCATCAAAACCCCGCACACTTAAACTGAATGCAACCAGTGCAATTAAGATGCAACAAATCGAGCGTCGCATTTTTCACACTATTCAATCACACGCAAAACTGATAACATAGAAACAAGAATTGAATTTAGAAACTTAAAATTAAACGCGACTAGAGAACTGCTACCACACACATTCACTGACCAATGTCGAATGATTTGTTTCGAAACGGAGAAGTTGACTTCTTTCATCTCCCATTGATTATGATGCGCTATGTCACTGTGGACCGTTTAGGACGAAATCAAACTTACAAACAGCCATATCACCGTGCACAAAAAAAAACACAACAGATTTGACAAAAAAGAACGACGGCGATAAGAACGAATATTTCAAACAGATTAAACGTATTTAAAGACGGTTATCGGTCTGAGAACATATCATGCCACTTCAACAGCGGAAGAAATGTACGTAGTTAGAACATTTCAAAAGAAAAGTGAATTTTAGATTGATGAGATGAAAATAACAAAATTGTTTTCTATTTATAAATTGCATAGAAGATTTATTACTAAGAATTTTGGCAAATCTATTCGCTACATTTATAATGCCACTGGCGCTAAGTTGACAGCTGTGTTTGCTACTTGTTCGTCGGTGCACTTTTTTTAGATTGTATGTTGCCGAATCACTTTGTTTTGCCACACACTGCGTATTGAATTTAATGAAAAGGAAAAAACAATGAGAAGTTTCATTCAGCGCATCTTGAATCATGCATTATTTTAGTGGGCAGCTCTTGCCCATTTGGGCAGTTCTAAATCCCAAATGGGCAGCTCAAAACTCAAAAATGGGCAGTGTTTTAATTAAATTTTCTTGAAATGGGCAGCTCTAAAAATTTGTTAAAATGATGCATGTCTTGAATGATAGAGATTTGAATTGCTATCGTTGCAAATATTATCCATTTGATATAAGTCCAATACGAAACATCCAATACATTTCTTTTTGTATTTAGTCATAAGAAACACTCTGTTACATGGAATTTTAAACTAAATTATATTAACCGTATCAATTACCACACATATGATATGGATGTGCATAATTTAATCGTTTTTAATCATCGGCATTGTTATTATCGTGAAAAACATTTGTGTACGCTGCTACTCTATGAAATTCATCGAAAAAAACATTAACCTTCATTAGACGAAAGATGTGTTCACATGACGATAGACGAATTTTATCGGCTAAATTTAGCTAGCATTAATCATTGCTTTTTTGGCTTTGCTTTTGTTCTGGGTCATCTGTGTGTGCATCAACAGTCCAAAACAATTTTAATCACGTCTTTTCAAGCTATGCTCATGTGGGCCTTAAGTGCAAGTACATTGAATTGCATCATCATCGATTGGCTTTGTTAGAGCCTTTTAGAAGGTCAAGGCGAATTTTCAAATGTGATCGAACGAACGAAATCATCGCCTTTTTTCCATCGGCCAGCTTGTTTTCAGACAATTTAATTAAATTGTGTATACTTTGATGGAATTTGAGAATTGTTGTCGCAATTTAATTGTGTAATTGATTTCGAATGCTATCGATGGTGCAAAAAGGTTTCAGATTTTAAATCATTGTCTGTAGTCGCAATTAGAATAAAACAAGAATAATTTCGAATGGAGAGCTTTTTTTTTATTAAATTAGAAACCATTAGATTTATTTCTTAGTTTGCAAAGAACACAGAGCCTGTCCCAGATAGGGCGCAAGTGGTGCGCTGCACCACGGCGCTGGGGCGCCGAAGGCGCGTGAGCGCTGAAATTTCTGCAAACTGGCAGGAAAATTGGAGCGCTTGTGCTTAATTGCTTAAATTTTCCGAAAATACGTAGAAAAATTCAGGCGTCGAGAGCGCCGAATGCACCAAAAGCATTTGATCAGCTTATATATATTTTTGAAATGACAAAAAAAATTTGGCTAGCGCGCCTTCGTTTTGAGACAATTTTGAGTCTATTTCATTTCATCCTAAGAAAAGGGCGCCCTGACAATTTTGCACCAGGACGCAAAGAGCGCACGGACAGGCTCTGAAAGAACATATCATCTAATTTTTGAATGTGGTTGATTATTTTCCACGATCTCTGAACTGAAAAAGAAAAAGTCCGTTTCAAACTTTTGATTTACATTCAACAAGACAAACCAAGATTCTATCGTATTCTTTAGAATAAAATGAAAAATTTGATTGCTAAATGTCACAATTTGCATTAACTACTCCTCATTATAATCTTAACATAGATAATTTTATCGATTTGGTCGATTGATTTTACTTGTGATTTTCAATGCGTTCAAAATGAAGAAAAAAGGTTTTCAACTAACCACTTACACTGAACTATATAACTACAGAAAATCTTTGAACAGTCTAGTTAAAACAATTCACAGTTTGCACTAGTGTTCATCAGTTTTTCCCATAAGTCAAATTGTTCATTTATCTTAATATCGTGTATGACAAACTTCTCGCGTAAATTGCACATATCAAGTCTGGATGTACCATCCTCTCGGAAATTGTCGACATTGATTCGTTCAATATTGACCAATTCGGCAACGATGCCGGTCATGAATACATCTTCCAACTTGAAAAAAATCTGTTTTAAGGCCGTTGTATATAGGTCATGTATGGTGGAACCGCTTATCAAATACATCGAAGCAATAAAATCTGGGTATGATGATGGAAAATATTCTTGTTCCGATACATAATACTTGCTTTCTTTATCCCGGAACGGGGCAAATCTGTAAATATAATCGAACAAAAAAATTCATTGGATCATTTTAATTTACAAACTTTTTGCCAATGTTAAAACTCATTGTGTGAAACATTTTTTTCTTCAATTTTTGATTAATGAAATGCTTGTGAATTTCTAGTTTTATTCCATTAGGATTTCAAGGACGAATAATATTCAAAATCGAAGACGAATAATATTCAAAAGTCTTGACCTACCCATAACACACACTTCCAAAAATGTTTTTTTGTTGCTGTTCAGGAGGATGATCTTCAATCCATGACATAAATCGCAAAACATTGACGAACATATCATCATCGGCTTTGAGTATGTATGCTACTCGAGAACAGTATGTTTCCACCCATTCCAGTTTTGTAATGCTTTTCAGTGTTAAATTATAGTAGCTGTCTACAAAACGACCACGAATAATGTCATTGTACTTAGAAAATTCGGCTTCCAGCGAATCTTCAATCGATTGTGTGTTTGGCTCACCAATCACAAATGCAATTGCTATATCACGGCGCGATGCATAACTGCCCCACGTTTGCCGAATGGCAAGTCGAGCATCGTGATTCGATGGTGCCGATGTTATCAATATCAGCAAACCTGAAGAAAAAAATCGAGAGAAAATTAGTTTGAAATCGATTCAATTCCAATTTTCTGAGCTAGGTGTTTTACGCATGTGTTCGCCTGCATCGGATCCGCATAGTTTCCTGTTCGATTTTAAATGGCCAGGTTTGTACAAATCACTTATGGGCACGCCATTTGCAGAAAAATTTGCCACATCCGGGCTCGTAGTTTGATGACTGTTTATGGCCGATGGTTGCGTTTGTTGTTTTTGGTCTGATACTATTTTGCCATCACATTAAATGTTGGAGTATGCAATGCAATGATAAAGGAAATAATACGTTATACGAATACCGAAACCGGGTATGAAGCCAAGTGAAAACTACAATAATGTAGTGAATTGAATAAATGAATGAGGATGCTTCGAAATAACACTCACCGGCCAAATTAACTTGCTCAATGGTGATATTTTTATCATCAATTACATTGCTCTGGATTGTAATGTTATTGCTGACGGTGGCTATCCCATCCGAAAGAGGTTTCGACATCAGAAATCGTATTATCATTAGATTTATATGATATGATGTGTACAGCAATGTTAACAGACCTACGATGATCAGCACATGATAACGCTGAACAAAATTGAATTCAACAAATATTTTCATTAAAATAGGCAAACCACAATTGTAAAAAAAACAAGAATAGACTTACCACAGTCGCAAAAGTCATTCGCAGTGGCCTCATCTTACACCTCAAACTTTTGCTTCAATTCAAACTGAGATCACACTGGTTAATAGAATATTTTTCGTCTCTCATACCGTTTGATAAAAATTGCTTCGTCTGTATACCAAATTCGTTTTTGACACAGCTGTTCAAAGAACCGCGTATGTTTGGCGCTGGGCGTATTGAACTTTATAGCTCGCATATTCTAATGACGTAGCACCAATTAAATGCTACGATCACACATGTCACCAATGAATTATTTTTCTCTGACAATTTTTTTTGCGATGAAATGTGTTTTGAATTTCAAAACAATTCTTCGAAGTTATGGAAAAATATATTTCCAAATCATCAAATCATTTACCAATGAGTAAATTAAAGTCTTACCGAAGTCATGATAATTTCACAAAATAGTAGAATAATTCGATGGAAAACACGAAAGACGGAAAAAAAACAACAAATGATAGTCCATTTATTTGGAATTTTTGTACTTAACTGTTACCAACGTCAGATCAAATTAGATGGAATTTTTTCTTTTCTGCTAAAGTCAAGAACAATATCGATGAAATAGGAAAAAGATAAGAAAAAGGACGTCATCTGATCATGGAAAAATATCGCTTATTTTCTACAATGGATGTTCTCCCATGATATGCATAAAATCGAATAAAAAATCTGTACTGGATCAGAAAACAGTTTAGTCGATTGGAAGATCTGAAACGTACAAAAAATTTATAACAATTTGATAAATTCGACTGGAGTAGGTAGTGGCTCTTCGTTAGAGATGACCATCAGAATAAAACAGGGAATCAATCGATGACATGTTTTGCCGCATTTATAAATGATCTTCCAGTACACATATCCGTTGCTATGCTTGAAAACTTTGCTGATGTTATCAAAGCATACCATATGGTTAAGAACATGACGATTTTTCGTGTTATGTATAGAGACTTTGTATAATAATAGAAAACTTATTCAATTCAATAAACAATAGCGACGAGCTTAGAATTGCAATCGAACATTGCGTTGAGTAAATGTCCTATCTATCAAAATCAGATAAATTCAACCCACAAACTGAGGCCCTAAATGAATTTCTATGTTTCTGTTAACGTGGGATGTATTATATATGCAGAATACAATACAATAAATTCATCAAGAAAATGTTTCTGTAATTTAACCGAAAATGACATTTTCAAATAAATTAATGAAAGAATCATTTTAAATCATCTTTTTGCTGACCAAAAAAAAAAAACAGATTTGTAGTTCGACGTTTCATGTAGTGCTGAAAACAAGTACAAAGGAGATAGTCGTCAATTGTGAAAAAAAACTGTAATTGAATGGCGTCATAAGAGTGTTCCCATCGTGTGAAATGAAAATAAATTATTTATTTATTTCCATTATAAAATAGGAATTGTGAGATCTATTAACGGCTCATAAATGAGTATGATTCAACTTTCAAAAGAATAACAATGTCCCAAAATAAGTGGAAAAGTAGAGAATTATTGAGCGCTTCAGACTGAATCGATTTATGAGCTTTTCATATGAAAATCACTTCAAATCGAAGCTGATGATTGACCAAGCGGTAGCCCATTACTAAGCCATTATTTTTGGTTATACGATAATGTTGTTCACCACAATAGCACCAGCAATGTCACATTCAAGTTACTTTGAATGGATTTGAATTGACGCCACTGCGTGAGAAAATTATTTCAAAACGTTGGTCATTTAGGCCGTTGAAATGATTTCAGCTTCTGATTTCACAATCTACGTCTCGTATATTGGTTCCTTGTATTTTTTTTTTGTGCGTGTTAGAACAATGGACAGAAGGGTGGATAATGAGAGGGGTGAGAAAACAATCACACCCATTGATTGCAGTCACTATTTGGATCCGAGTTCAAATTCGTCAATAAGCCAGACATTGAATAGATTTCGATTCATCAATCAAAATGTCTTGCACCAAATGTCGGTGGTGAACTTTTCGGCCGAACAATAGCTAAATTTGCCGTAATTTCCTTGTAATAAACTATTTCATTTCACAGTAATTGTTTGACTTTTTAGACGACATCGTATTAAACTTTTCCGCATCAAAGGAAATTGTTTCCGCTTTTATTCAGATTGTTTCGTGTAAGCCACAGTGTTTTCTCTCTATTCATGTAACAGTTTTGGAAAATGTTGAGGGTTCATGAAATTATAATGAGCCATCAATTTAGTAGCGAGGTAGAAGATCGAGTCTCACTTCAAGCGATCCAATAGGCATCCGCGACAGTGTTTTCGATCAGTATCGTGTTAAAGGCCATCGAAAGTGTTTCTGAGGCAATCATCAGCCATGGAACCGCTTAAGACAAACGTTAAAATTTGTGTTTTACTTGGCCTTTTTGCCATTTCCGATCGTTTTAAAGCTAAATCCTATGCATTTTTGTCCAATTTTTTGCCGACGTCGAATACTGTGTTCCTTGTTTCAATTTCGGGTGCATACTTTTTCAAGAACGTGTCCGATATCGAGAAAGCTACCTACGCTTTTTACGTGCTTGCCGCCGGATTGATTAGTCTCGCCTGGAATGGAATCGTTCTGAAACAACAAACTCCATTAGAAGTGATGCTCCTGGAACTCCAGCGAATTGTTGTGAAACGTGAGTCAAAAAAAAAGTTTTGATAAATGAAATCGGGAGGTGAAAGTGTCGAAGATTTGAAAATTTACTCTCAATTCATTAATAGACGTTAACATAAGGAGAAGTTTTTTTTTAATAGTAGTTGAAAATTGTTCAAAGTTCGTTGCAAACGACGGAAAAATTGATTTTTTGATGAAAAATAATGAAAAAAAATTCGCACCAAATTCAAAATTCACAGGCATCAACAATAGAAGTGGTTTCCAATATGAAAAAGTCGAGTCAAACATTCAGATCTTTACGACCAGATACAACATGGTTTTCACATGTGCAGTCGTTGCTTCAATGATTGTGATGCCCGTTTTGGTAGCGGCTTTCCACTACATCGACGGAAACTATAATTACAATTCATGGTATTTACCACTTGTTACAATGTAAGCATGAAAAAGTGTCCCTGATTTGATGTTCTTTCTCGAGTTGTTCCTACGACTTTTAAAGCTGATATAGTTTTCTTGCATCCAACAGAACGCCATACAATCAAAACGCTACAATCGATCATGTTTTCAGTCATATAATTCAAACCACTGGTATTGCATCTTTGGTCTCTTATCTGTGTGCTATCACGATGACATATTTCGGCGTTTGTTCCTACATCGAAGCCCTGTTCACCGATTTAGCTCAGAAGTGCAAGAAAAATGATGACGAATTCATGTTGAAATTGATACTGTCACAGCAAAAGACACTGGAAGCGACAATCAAATTGAAGGACAATTTCGTTGCGTTAATCGAACTGCATAATACACTTCTTAAGTAGGTCAAATCGAAAATATTTTATTTCTAAATCGAATACATTTGATATTCGTTCATATTTCTCTGTCATAATTTTCGTTTACACTTTTCAGCTTTCTGAACAATTTTCGCGAAATGTTAAATAGCATCGTTTTTTCGCTGTTCATGGTTGGCATTCTCTGGCTTTGTTCAGAACATTTTCAGCTTAAACCAAGTTGGGATCTAATGTTCATTCAGAACATGAGCCAAATAAGTCTAATTGTATCGTGTTTATACACATATTGTTCGAATGGATCAACAGTTACTTGCAGCTGCAGCGAATTTGCACGTGCCATTTACAGCTCGCATTGGTATAAGTATCCGATTGAATTGCAGCCATTCATTACATCAATAATGTGCCGTGCTCAGAAACCATTCTATTTTACTGCATACGAATTTGGACAATGCTCAATGGAAAATTTCACGGCGGTAAAGCGAACAAATCACAAATGAAATTGTTTATGTCTTGAATTTCATCATTTATTCGATTGATAACAATGATTTCTTTTCCACTTTCAGCTCATGAGAATGACATTTTCAATTCTCATGGTGTTGCGTGCAAAGGGATATTGCAACTTTTTTGACCAGAAAAAACGCCATCTTACGTCGTGCCCGTAAATTATTTTACTGTACATTTAGATGGTAGAGCTTGAACGAAAGTTCGACACTATGCAAAAACTTGGAAAGAGCTTGATAAACTTGATGAAATAAATATATTTTATGGTCGTTGCAATAACCATATTGTTGCGTGCTGTTAATGAAAGTCGCTAATTAAAATTCTTCTTACTTTTATGAACACCAAATCACGTATTGAAATTTATTGGGATACATTTTAAAATCACATATTAAAATTAATAAAACATTCAGATTGAAAAACGTACTTTTTTTTAACTCGTTATGTTCCATTTATCTGCAAATTGAATGTGTATCGTTGACACGAGGAATACATTTTTTCAAAAAAAGTGTTCAGGGATTGAAATTCAAACAAATTTTTGGATTGGCCATACATAGACATACACATTTATTTTACCAATTTCACAATAATTACAAAAAAAAATTGAAAAGTATTACAATTTTATATAATAATAATACACCGCCAACGAACAGCAACGAATCTCATGGAATTTACTCACTATGTGACTAGGAACCATAGCCAAGTCGATGTACTTTATACTGACTTTAGCAAAGCCTTTGATCGAGTTAACCATCGCAAACAATATTTTTTTGATATCGAAACTTAAGAAATTCAACCTTCCGCTTAATCTTGTCAACTGGATCGAATCGTACACACAATCCCTGCACCACACTAACAAAACAAAGTAAAACACGAATTTGCGATGAGCGCATTCAGTGAAGTTCATTTCAATTATTTACGTCGTTAGACGCACTCATGAACGCGACAAATTGAACGCATCAACAATGTTCCGTAATGAAAGAAACATTTTTTAATTATAAAATTAATGTTTATCACGTGCTACGCTCTCACAAAAATCAATTTTGCACATTCGTGACATTTTTATTTTTTTTGTCTACTTTATTAACAAATATAAAAAAGATTCAATAATACATTGAACGATCTGTGTCACAACTTTTGACACTTGTCTCGTAGCGCTAGAAGTGAGCTGTCAGACGCTTAGATGCAGGACCTTCGATCGTACATCACCGATAAGTGAAAATTTGTGTTATACGAACATCAACAATCTGATGATTTTGTCGTTAACTCAGGAGTTCCAAAAGGAAGCCACTTAGGACCGACATTGTTTTTGCTGTTCATTAATGATATAGCGACAAAACTTGGCCCTGACGTTTTCATTTCACTATTTGCTGATGATCTAAAAATTGCAACGATTATAAATTCACCTGATGACATCAATAAACTTCAATCGGCAATAAACAAACTCAAAATATGGTACATTGAAAACGATCTACGCCTTAACCTCGATAAATGTGCGATCATGTCAATTTCAAATCGACAAGCTGTGAACGTCATAATTGTAAATACTTTTATGGTGCCTATGAATTTCGTAGAGTCAACGAACAGAGGGATCTCGGTGTACTCATAGACTCAAAAATGAATTTCATCGACCACATTAATGCCATCACTGCTAAAGTGGCATCAACCTTGGATTTTATCAAGCGATTTTGCTATGACTTCAGAGATATTTACACACTCAAGTCACTCTACTATGATTTGGTTCAATCGGTACTGGAGTATTGCAGTGTGGCTCCCGTTCTATGAATGCCACAAAGGAAAAATTGAAAGTATTTTCATCCAGTTTACAATGTTTGCTTTGAGAGAATATCAAAATGCTGCAAACAACTACACGATTTCGAGCTACAATCAACGGTTGTCTAGACTCGAAATGCAATCGTTACGAAGACGAAACATCAACGCTTCAATGATGTTCTTCTATGTTCTCATCAATGACATTATTCATTGCCCACGCCTTAAGGACTTCATCACCCAAAATACAAATGTTAGGAATCTACGGAATCCCGAGTTATTTAGAATTGTCGATCAGCGACTGAGCACTTCGATAGGATGAAGTTTTTCATCTTAAATTTCGTAATTTTCACTGGTTTGCCTGTTCATCTGGTTTCTCTTGGCTCGTTAAACGCATGCACTTAAATTGAAGCGTTTTCAGAAATAATTTACAAAAATAAATGATTTAGAATACAAAATGTCTAGTTTTTGACTTTTACTGTTGTATATTTGTATATAGGGGAAGGTGGGGCAAATCGCCGCACTTTCACCCAAAGCCATAGATAGCCATGAAAATGAAAAAAAATGAAAATATACCTATTTCCATGTTGTAGCTTGTTCTTTTACCTAACTTTTATAGAAGATCATTTTTTATTTTGACCATCGAAAAAGTTAGTTATGACCCTCGGCGCGGAAGTCCATTTTTTTGGATTTTCAAAATTGGTGGGGTAAATCGCCGCACCCCATGGGGTAAATCGCCGCAGCTATATTTTCAGTGTTTTACAAAGGTTTTTGATAAGAATAAGTGCTCAAACGCATTCTGTTGATGTTTGTACATCGTTTCTGCTTTATTTAAAAATAATTTGGAATACAAAAAATATGAAAATGTTTGAAAATTTCGTATAAAATTATGGGTTTACGTGAAACATGATATTTTGAATTATGAATTAACATTATATTGATAAAGAAAAATGTAGGAATGAAAAAATGAATGTAATAATAGAAGAAATAGTTCATTCCTCTTGATCTGATTCATCTTAAGGAGCGTAACTTGCAATGGTACGACGACGTTTGCTTACGCGTTCTGGCTTCCCTTGGGCGGCTTTTGCTGCAATCTTCGCTTCTTTCTTGGCAGCAACAGCTGCTTTTTTGACCGCAACCTCTTGCTTTCTTACAGCTGCGACCCGTTTCCTCTCCTCTGTTGCCGCTTCTTTCAATTCTTTGGCTTCTTTGGCCTGTTTGACCGTCAAAAAGGTTTCATCATCTGTTAGAATCGCGGTCTTTTGCGGTTTTCGGCCACGTTTACCAGGTTTGCGTGGTGGTGCCTTTGGATAAGGTTTGATGGCCTGAAGCAAGCCCGACAATTCTTGGACCGATGCAGTTGAAGTTGATGCCTCGCCTTGAGCCGATTCAGCTGACATAGATACATCGGCTGATGGTGCATTGCCTTGAGTCAATTCAGCTGACATGTCGTCCATGTCATATTCCTCTTCCTCTCTACCTCGAAGATCATTCAGGTAGTTATCGATGTTCATTCAGCAGCACGAATGGACATACCAGCTTGAATCGCACAAAGAGCACGAACAATGTTCTGTGTATCCTTTTTCTCGGTCTTTCTCTTGTATGCACGCACCATTTTACTTGAAAAACCACTGAATTTTTGAACAAAATCACAAAAATATTACTAAATTTTAATGAAAAATTGATCACAACGATGTTACTTCATCGAAATACGCAATAACAATGGCATTTTGAGTCGTCAATGAGCGGCAAAACGCGAAAATGTGGTGAGGCGATTTGCCCCATATGTTTGTGCGGCGATTTGCCCCACGCCACATGTTGCTGTTCGGAGCTCGATTTCGACACAAATATTAAAAAATTTCAAATCACAATAGTTTCCATTCGAAAGAGCACGTCAAAAGCAACAAAATAAACTTACCCTTTTTTGAAAAACAATAAAATTTAAGGGTCAAAACTGAAATTCTGTAGACCCGAAAAATGAAGTTAGCACTAGCACAAAACACGTCTGACTCTGTAGCTTGCTTGTACTCGAATGAAGAACTGTCAAATACTCAACCAAATATGGCGTTTTTGATGCTCTTTCAAATGACACTAGAACTTTTTGTATATGTATTGCCGTTTTCGAGAAAAGGCCAGTGCGGCGGTTTACCCCACGCGGCGATTTGCCCCACCTTCCCCTACAATTGCGAATATATGATAATGGTGTCCATCTGTCCATCCCCATTCAAGATAGTTTATATATTATTATTAATTCATTTTATTATATATGTGTTCACTGTTAAGGTTTTTTTTCGCTTTCATTATTAAAATTAAAAGTCTATATCAGATAAAAATGATTTTGATCATGAATTGCCATACGTTTATTCTGTAAAAATTCATGTTTGAGTTTATCAGGAAATTAGCATCAATTTTGGATGCAACACGAACTGTGGTGCGGTTGATATTGCATTTCAATTCTTATTTGCATCTGTACTCTTCACGAACTAATATCGAATGAACTCAGAAAGAAACATTAGATCAGTGTAATAATGCCACGACCAGTAATTCAAGGCTTAAATCAAAGTGAGGTGAGCTAAAATAAAGTTCCATTAAATTTAATTACTTATTTTCCAATTATGAAGCAAAAACTTTTCTCTTTATTTTCGTTTAGAAATATTTTCTTTTAAATGCAAAATGACTGAAAATCGGTTTAAATTTTATTTTCTATAAGATCTTTGGATCTGTTTTCCAGGATTTTTGTACGAATACATCCATTCAAGGTATTCGGTATTTTACAGAACGGAAACGACATTGGAGTGAAAGGTGAAATTTGAATTAGCAAACTTCCTATGGACTGGTTGGAGCTAAATCAATTGTTTTTCCTTCTCCTTTTCAATCCATAGACTATTTTGGATCGCATCTGTTGTGATATCGATATATTTTTGTAGTATATCGATTCGTAATATCTTGATCGAATGGAATGAAAATCCAGTTACAATGAGTTTATCGGAAAAACCAGCGCCAATTTCGGAAATTCCGTTCCCAAGCGTAACTGTTTGCGCATCTAACAAAATTCAGAGGTCGAAATTTCAAAAGTGAGAAAAACAACTGCCATTTTTTGTTGTATAGTAGAAATGTTATTCTTCATCAATACAAACCAACACAACGAAACAATTATGTTCATTTTTAGAAATTATCAATTAAGGGTGAAAAATGTCATCTGCAATGCATACGGAGGAGAATTGGACGAGTTCATAAATGATACTATTTATGATTCAATTTAAAAAATGGCTCCACATGACGTAATCTCTTTTTGTTGGTGGCGCATGTTAGATTATAAGGGTCCAGAAATGTTTACGCCAATTTTGACTGAAGAAGGTCTTTGCTTTACATTCAATGCCCTGAATTCGCATGAGATTTATACAGATGAGTAAGAAATCTTCAAGATCTGTCTTTTGAAAAAATTCTTCCACGATATTTGTTCGTTCATAGAATGGCACCAGGAATGATGAATGTTATGACTAACACCAACATATCGCGGTGGAATCTTGAAAATGGATATGAAGACGTAATGAATTTGAATAGTTATCCGATGCGAATATACAATTCAAGATCAGATGAATCTCTACGTATGGAACTGTATCTTGGCGATGATACATTTTTTTCGTGTGGCTTTGGTGCGCATCCCGGATTTCGTGTATTCATTCATGTACCTGGTGAAGTGCCGAACATGTCACGTCAATTCGTATATGTTTCTGTCTTAGAAGATGTAAAATTATCGATTCAAGCTACTATGATTACCACATCGGATGGATTGCGCAGCTATAAACCAAGTCAACGACAATGCTTTTTCAATTCAGATCGTCAGTTACGATTTTTCAAAATTTACACACAAAGTAACTGTGAAGCAGAGTGTCTGTCGAATTATACAAAAAATGAATGTGAATGCGTTAAATTTTCAATGCCAAGTATGAACAGGCGAAACAAGAGCAGCTTCTAATTGAATTTATGACATTTTTCCATTTCTCATTGTTAGGAGATAATCAAACGAAAATTTGTAGTCCATTGAAAAGTGAATGCTATAAAATGGCAGCAGAGAAACTTTATGGTGAAGATATAGTCGATGGTTTACAAGATGACAAAGCAAAAATATTCCGAAAGGATTGCAATTGTTTGTCATCATGCACATCAATCAGCTATGAAGTGATTGATCATATTCAGGCACTCGGACAGGATCATATTACCACGGAGAAAACCTCAATGTTTGCTATTTATTCTCTTTCTGCATATTAAAACATACCCGTTGATAATAAAAGCTTCTCCCCACAGAGTAAATATTTTCTTCAAAACACACCTAGTGACCGCATACAGAAGGGCTGAATTGTACACTTATCCAAATATTCTGGCCATTGGAGGAGGGCTGCTGGGCCTATTTTTGGGCATTTCTGCACTGAGTGTTGTTGAATTCATTTACTATTTTACAATCCGAATTTACTGAGCTCCATGACGCCAGCCCCGCCCGGAATTTTTTTCAAGAAATTTCAAATCTGAACACGCTATCGTGTTCTACGC